TTTTTGCTTTCTTTTTATTTTCAATCTTTATGTAATCTTATATGAAAGTGTTTTTTTTTTTTTTTTCCTTTTTTTTTGTTTTTTTTTCTCCTTTGTACTTTATACTTTTTATTTTAATAAATATAATACTTCAAATTTTTTCTATACGCTCATGTATCCTATGCTTAATATATGATGAGAGTCACGTAAAATTCTCAAGAATTGACGAGTTGCCGATAACGCAAACTTATAAATATTAAGGTCGAACTAACCTTGCCAATGCAGTAATTTTATATCCAAAGTTTCCGTACGGTAAATACACTTTATAAAATTTATTTTTTCTTAACAATTACATGAATTACATGGAAAATATAAAGTCACAAAATTTTTAAAAATTCACAACAAAGCACGTGCTTCTTTAAACATTTAATGTATGAGACTTTCGAAAATAGTAAAATATTCATGAAGAAATTATTCACTTTGCCGAAAACAATAGATGCTCGTTTCGATTATTTATTCCTTTATGAATTAGAGATTCTCATCTGTCGCGCGTTTTATTATATAATATTCAAAATAGGTTTACTCTCTACAATTTGCGACAGCATCAGATTCTTTAGAATATCAATAACCAATTTTTTCTGAGAAAAAACTTTTCGGTAATTTTAGATGAAACACGTTTTTATTTTTTTTTTTTAAAAAAAAAAAATGCAATTAAATTATTTTATATACAAATTTTTCACTTTATTTTTTCGCTAATCTCGTATAAGAAAGAATAGCAGGTTTAGAATATTCATCTTTTATATTTATATTAATAATACAAAATTCTTTTTCACCCGAATCACAGATTTTGTATTCCCAGGCAATCCCAACGACGTTATTCTCAAGATAATCACCAATTTCTTTGCCAAATTTTTTTAAAATAGAAAATCCAACATCACTGAAAGGTTTCATAATTTTAGATAAACATGAAACTCCAATGGATTCACTTTTAGCCCAAAATTCTTTCATATATCTATTCGTTTTATAAAATCTTAATTCTATTTTACTTAAAAATTGACTCATGGCTTCATGTATTAACTTTTCCAAGGCCGAAATAAATTCATCAACTTTCACTGCCGCTAACTTATGAATTAAAGTAGTGTTATTAATAAAGTTATTATTATAATGATCCTTCAAAGTTTCCATTGGAATTTGAAAATATTCAAGTTCTTCCATTAATTCTTCCCTTGTGATATATGCTTTTTTTGAATCATCAGTCCCTATTGATAATAAGATTTTACCAGTACGATACCATTCTAAAATATATCTAAAGGCGTACCCATTTCGATCAAAGAAATATTCCTTGGTTGTATGTAATGATGATCTCTCTTCAAATAATCTTCCAAGTAGTGTATTTGGATGTTCTGTTAAAGTCGATGCAAATGTTTCATACTAAATATCATTTTTTTTTTTTTTTTTTTATAATTAAATTTGTATACTTGCAGATAAAATTGATATTTTTTTTTTTTAAAAAAAAAAACCAAATTAATACATTCACTTGTAAATATATTACCTTGATACCTCCGATATTTAATATGATTGTTTTTTCATAACTATGAGTGATTTTACCATCAATTTCCATTTGATTTGAATTCGACATTGTTAATATTTCTTCTTTATTCTAATAAAATAGTTCAGAGAATATGTGTATATATATATATATATTTGAAAAAAAATAAAACGAAATTTTTGAATTGAAATACAAAAAAAAATATGTGATCTATTGATATAACTAGTAATGACGCACAATATATCCAAATTCGAATGTTGATCGGATCCTTAAATGTTTAAATTAAACTGCTTTCAGCAAGACACGTATATTTGATGATATTCTTATTTGGATAATTGTAATCTACTTTAATTTCAACTATTAAATATTCAGTAAATTCCTTAATCTCCCATGAAAAATCATTAAATTTTTCTTTAAAATAACTGTAAATTTCATTATTGAAATTTTTCATGATATCATAACCAGAATTAACGAAATCTCGTTTCTCGGCGTGATTTTCAAGCCATTTCGTGGGATGTTTTAAAGAATTATAAAAATTTATCTTAAAACATGTGCGATAATTTTTAATCATTTCGTAAATAACCTCCTCAAAGGTTTTCACGAATTCATTCACTCTTTCACCAACAATTTTATCGATATGAATAGATTTAGATGTTAAATTAGTTTCGGAAGGGGTTGGGATTTGAAAATAATTAATTTCCTCCTCAAGTTCTTCCCGAGTTACAAATGAGAGTTTATCAAAATATTTCTCGGTTAACAGCAGTTTTCCGGTTCGATAGAATTCTAAAATGTATCGGAAGGCATAACCATTCCGATCAAAAAAGTATTCATTGCCATTCTGAGGGTGAAGTAGAGTTTTATTTCGATCGAGAAACATACTCCCGAGAAAAGTATCTGGATATGCAGTTAATGTTGAAGGATACGTTTCAAACTTGAATATGACGATTTTTTTTTTTAAAAAAAAATATATATATATGTATACATGTTAATAATTTTTTAGATCAATAATTTTTAATAATCTAATTTATTTTCATACCTTTATACCTCCAACATTCAAAACTATCGTAGACTCTCTTTGAAATTTTGATTCTTCGCAAGGGTTAATTTCTGGTAGTTTACTCATTTTTGTCTGTCAAGCTATGACTTGTTCAAACCTAAATTCTTTTTATAAGTTAAATTAATGGCGTTTTAATCTATCTTTGTATAGTAAATATGGCTGAAACATCCCTACAGTTTGCATAATACTGTAGTCATCTTTTTGGATTACATTACATAATCAAATCAGGTGAGGTATTTCCTGTGGTCTCGCTATATCTGTTAACAAAGTTGCTTCTTCACAATTAGGTGACATAAATTATGCGCCGATAAATTTCAAATATGCTTAGTTCATTGCTTAAGACTTTTCTAAAAAAAAATGCGATGATTGGTACTAAATTTGCTATTATCAATGAATTCATTCATTTTACTATTATAAATCAAATACATCAAGATTCTTACAATATAAATTATTTTGTAAATTAATAAATAACAAAAATTATATAAACGCTTTGCATATTATTATTTAAATTTTAAATAATTATTTTATCTTTTTAATAATTAATATAAACAAGTTTCAAATAAAAAATCATTAATTTACTTAATTTAAGACCTAATATTTTAAAAAATTTTTACTTAATTAATTGATGAAAAAAAATTTATCAATTCTACTATAAATACGACCAAAATTTAAATGTAAAATATAATTGGATTTTTACCAATTTTCAGTAATTTTTATTTTCTTTATAAATGTTTTCTCAATAATATAAAATTTATATTATTTTCAATATAAAATCTAATATATTTTATAAGTAAAAATATAAAGGAGTTTTGGGATTTTAATACATATAAATTTATCATAAAGATATATTGAATTATATAAATTTATGTATCTTTTTGCAAAAAATTAAATTAAGTAGTTTATTTAGGATTTAAATTGTACTATAAATAAGCTTGATTTATTTCTTACTATCAGAAGTCTGTTTATTATAAAAGATTTCAATAATATATAAATTTTAATATTTCTTTTGTTTATTTTAATGACTTTTAAATTATTTTTCAACTTTTAGTATTTTTTGTAAGTACAATCAGATCCTTATATAATCATTAAATTCTTTTCATCAAATTGATTATATATAATACAACTATATAAATAAAACTTATATATAATTATCACTATATTATAAATCATATGAAATGATTATATAGAGATTAATAATTTAACAATCTGATTAAATAATTTAATATAATTTCACTAAATTTACCTTTTTCTATTTAGATGACTTAATAAATCTCTAGATTTTATCTAATAATCTTAGTTTAAGGTATTATTATTATTTAACAAATAATAATTCAGAACAAAATATAATAAAATATTATCAATCAAAAGCAAATTCTTTTTATATTTTACTCTAAAATGTCTATCTATAATAAAGTATTTCTTTAAATATCATTAATTCATCTGCATTTCTAAATTAGTATATAAAAAAGCTTTAAACATTTTGATTTACTAATTATTTACAGCTTAATTATATTAGTTTCTGTAATATTTATATTAAAAAATAGTAATTCGTATTTTATTTTTTTTAGTTAAAAATTAGTTTAATAAAAAGTATTTAATTCAAATATTTTATAATAAAATCCTATTTCATCAATATTATATATTTAATTTAAAAAATATTAACTTAATAATTGATAAGCTTTATTCTTTCTTCTAAAAATACTATTATTATACTTTTTGACTTTCTATATATATAATACTAATAAATTATTTATTTTAAATTTATTTAACTAATTTTACGTAAAAATTCTTGATTAAGTAATTGTTAGAAAGAGTTTTTATATATTTTTATATTTTATAATTATTAAATACTTATCTTTAAAAATTAAAAAATTAAAAAATTAAATATATATTGATAATTATGAATTTTAAAAATTTAAAAAATATTACCATTAAATACATCATAAGATGATAAATCTAAAATTTTATTTTATTTTTTTATATTATTAGATATCAAAATATTTAAAAATAATTTTATACTTACAGTTTAAGGGATAGCAAAATATCATTTGAGTAGGTTAAAACTTTATTTAGATTAGCTAAAAAATATTAAAATTTTATTTAATAAACAAGTCAAATAAAAGTTAAAAATTATTTTGAAAAAAAAATATCAAAAATAAATATTTAATAATTAAAAAATTATATATATATTGTATAAATATTTTTTAAATAAAATTCATATTAATAAAAAATATTATTATAAAAATAATATAAAAATTTTTTATTATAAATAATTTGAAAATTTAATTATAAAAAAAAATTTTTTAAGAATTAAATTTTATAAAATTAAACTTTTAATTTTAAGAAATCATTTTTTATTTATTGATAATAAAATAACTTTATAATAAATAAATCTTTAAGAAGTCTTATTATTTATTTTGAAAAGTTTTATAATTTTCTTTTCTCTTATTTGTTAACAATAAAATAATTTTATAATAAATAATCTTTAAAAAGTCATTTTATTTGATAATAATAAAGTAATTTTATAATAAATTAACTTTTAAGATATTTTATTTTTTTTTATTTAAAAAATGTTTATTATTAATTTTGAGCAATATATTTTATTTTAATTAAGTTAATAAAATTATCATATTCTAATTTAAAAACACAATCTGTGAATAAGTATCTTAAGTAATTTTATATAAAATATATATATTTTTTATTATTTTATAAATTTTATTATTTTATTCAAGTTTCTTTTAAATTTATTTAGCAATTAAAGTAAATCTTACTATTATTTAATTGATTAAATATTTTAATCTATATAATTAAAAATTAAATAATAATATATTTCCTTATATAAATTTATAAACTACTTATTTATTAATCATTTTTTAATAAATCAATTAATATAAAAAACTTTTAAAAGTTTATAAGATTTTATTTATAATTATAAAGTACTTTATAATATAAAATATAAATATTATATTTAATATTAAAAATAAATTAATATTTAGAATACATTATTTTAGAATAATACTTTAGCTTTTTATTTTATCAAAATAAATATTTTAAAAAAATAAATTATATAAATTATATTAAAATATAATTTGAAAATAAATTAATAAAATATTTTTTCGTATATTAAAATAAAGTTGATTAAATTATATAATAATATTTTATTTATTTATATAAATAAATATGTAAATAACAATTAAATTGTATTAAATAATCTAGTCATATAAGTCTTTTATTATTTATAATATGATTTATTTTAAATTATTTAATAAATAAATCATTTAAATATTTTTGATTAGATCCAGTTACTTTTATCATTAAATTATAATAATTTTAAATTTAGGAGTTAAATTTTTTAATATTTAATTAAATTATATTTTATCTAACTTTATCTGTATATTTTTCTTTTACTTTAAATTAATTATATTAATTTTTTTAATTAAAAATTTAAATTTATTATTATTTTATCTAATTTAATATCTTTAAATTAGAATTAATATAAATCTTTAAAAAAAGTATTTTAAATTAATATAATATTATGTTTAATTTTATTTTTAAAAGATTAGATAGTAATTAAAATATCTTTTCTTAAAATAAAATAAAATTGAATTACTTTAGATAATTAATAATTTGAAGATTAGAAATAATATATAAATTTAAAAATATATATTATATAATTTATTATTATTATATAATTATAATTTGTAATAAACATTCATCAATTGACTAGTTGGCTTTATTTACTCTCTTTTCATCTAATAGTAATAACTCACAGGTTCTAACTTCTTTTATATAAAGAGACCTAAAAACTTTTAAAATCAAGTTTTTGATAAATGAACTTCTCACCATCAACAAAATTAGAAATCAGACATTTAAATATTTATAAGGATTAATCTTTGTATTATATAATACAAATAAAGAAGATTATTAATATTTATAAACTTATATAATATTACGTAATACTATAACTTTAATCTACAAATCTGTATAAGATTTGTTGAATAATATTATTACTGATAAAATAAAGAAGAACAAAGATTAATTCTCCTTATACAGCTCCTTTAAAAATCAATATTTAACCTTTTGGATCCTTCTGTAAATCTCAACTCATATATCCTTCTATCTAAAGAAATATTATCATCTAAATTTTACATTTACTTAAAAAGCTTTTTCATCATCTAATTTCTAATTTATTCTCGTTAAAGTATCTAACTTTTTTATTTCTGAATTTAGAAAAAATATTTGGATTCTTCAATATGTAAAAATAGTTGAATTAGAAAAATGCAAAGAAATTTCAGTCTTATTGAAGAAAAAGAAAGTTAGATTAAAACTAACTTCACATCTTAAATATGAGATTCAGCTCTCACTTAATTGAAAAATATGGATATCTATAATTCTTTAATATAGTTTTTCTTAGTTTAATTTTTTAATTTAATACTGATATATCATTTGAATTTTTTAGTAATAGTTTAATCATTATATAGAGAAATTCTAATAATTGGTTAATCTAATTAGGTTTATAATATAACTATAAGAAGATAGTAGTAGTTTATTTTTATTGTTTTTACTTTATTTTTATTATTTATAATCTTTATAACACAATATCATATTATTAAAAAAATAACTATTTAATCAAATTTGACTATTAATTATTTAATTAATTTAGTTAATTAAAATAACTAAAAAATTCTTAATTATAATCAAATACTATTACTATTATAAATATATCAATATATATATTATAGAAAAATATGATTTTTTCTATAATTTTATTATCAATTTTATTAATACTATTGCCATTATTATAGTAACAAAAAGATAATAAAATAATATATTTATAATATATATATATGTATACTTTAAAATATAATAGCTTATTATTCAGATATTTAAATCTCAATAACTATATAATAATTGTTTTTTGATTCTACTAATTCTCTATTCTTTTTTTAAATAAATCATATCTTCTTGATAATTAACATATTATCTAAAAGATTGCAGAGTATTACTAATAAAAGGATTACTAGAATAAATTTAAATAAAGTAGACAAATAATATTACAAGAATTA